GAATGATTTAAGGCTCGTAATATGAAGCCCTATAAACACACTGAGACCCTATTCTGATTGCCAAGGCTCTTATCGTCCAGCCATGTTGCTTTGTGCCCTTAGGCGAGGAGCTCCATGAACTCTCTGACTTCAAGCATCAGATCGACACTTTGAATGCCCGGGTCTCAAACTGCGGCGAGCACAGAGAGAGAGAGAGAGAGGGAGAGAGCGACTTAGAACCTTTTTGGCTCAAGCCATCTGCCGCGCCCCTGGGCTGGAGAGAGTTGTCTCTCCATCCGTTGCAGCATTTGGCTGACAAGGGTGCAAGGGGTATACGCCAAGTCCTTCCTTGACCTTTTGCGTTGGCAGGGGTGGCCCAACAGTCAGTAGGGGGAGGCGACATGCCATGTCACAGAGGAACTCCTGGCAAAGACGGTGACCCAGGCGAACGAGCACACCGCCCCAAACCTAACAAACTCGCTGAACGACCCCCTCTCCCAAGACGACAGAGACAAGCAGACGACAGCGGAGCACAAGCTGTGAGGTGAACACCGAGGATGGAATGACCGTGACTCTGGCAGGGACACCGAGAAGGCGAAGTGCAGCCATGGACGAGGACCCAGCCAGGGTCGGGTACGACGGCAGCAAACCGCAAGAAGTACTGGCCCAAACAGTTTTTCAAACTGCAACAAAGATGGACAGGGCCAAACTATGCCAAACTCAGGTGACACGAGCTGAGTGGACTACATCCTCATACAAGCAACCAAAGAGCGATACAATACACAGTGAGCCAAACTTCTCAGTAAAGCTCCTTTCTCGCACCACTCGTTCAACTTCCTTTGCAAGCGCCTACTTGGAAAAAGCAGGGCCGGACCTGAATTTGCTGACGGGTGCCTTGCATATTCATTTCGGTATTATTCAATGTGGTGTGCCCAAACCAACATAAGAGTGGAGGGCCGGTAATTCGAGCAGGCTTTTCCCCTTGAAGCTGAAGCTTCCTCGGACTCCCTGAAGGCACGAGCCCGCAAAAGTCTGGGTATCAGCTGATTCTCGTTTCTCCGGGGAATTTTCGTATGTTTAGTCGCCTTGTTCACTTTGCCTCATTGGGGCACCCAGCGCTCAGCAAAGACTTCAGCGCACCCTCTTTCTGTGAGAAACCTCTAGCTACTTAGTGTGACACTGCCCAGTTGCTTGGCTCGCAAAATCTCAGAAAGGGGGACCAGAGACTGCCAAGGCTTCAGGGTTGAGTGGAAGGTCACAGGCAGTGCTGCGCTTGGGGCTTCCGTTCGGTGTCAGGCAGGGGGGATCGGGCAAATGTCGGGACAAAACACACGGTGCACCTGTGACCTGTTAACCTACTCGTTTGCTTCGCAGCATGCTTCGCAGCATTACGTCAGGGGCCACCAGATCTGCTGAGCAGTGGGCCGGGGACCGAAAGTGGTTCGAAGGGCTTCGGCCCGAAGCTTGTTCATTCTTGAATGTGAAAACTTCACCACACCGCAGCGGCAGGTAGTTGAACTTGTTTGCTTGCCATTGCCGCACCGAATTCCAGCTCGAAGTTGGGTGCACCGTGCACCGGCATTCCAGCTCGAAACTGCTGCGTTGCTTCAGCCTGATGCTGAGGCAGTGCGGCAGCACTTTGGCTAGGTTTGCTGAAATGTGGAGTTCGTGATGCCCTTCGTGGTCTGCGACCCTGTGCTGGGATGTTTAGCCAGCCCCTGGGTTTTCGATTGTTGTCTTACAGTACGCGCACCTCGACGGAATCTTACATCAACGTGCTGGGAAACATAAAGCCTTGCAGATTCCGGCTTGCGACATCGGCTCCACCCGGGAGGCCAAGACTTCAAGGTCGGGGCTGTTATCCAGGCGTCAACCCTTTATTCTGGCAGCGAGCCAAACTTGCATTGGGGCATTTCCTTCCGGACACAAAATACCGGCGTGGCCGTGGTTTTTGGCTTGTGGGTTACGTGGTCAACTCCGCTTGCTGCTGCCGGCTAGGCACCACCTTTCTGTTCCTGCGCAGATGCCGCGGTTGGCTATGTTTGGATCTGCAGCTTCGGGGGGGGGGGGGCTTTTTGGGACAACACGCAAACTTCGAGGTTCGGTTTGGATTCCCGTTCTACCGGAAGCGTGCTTGCTTTGCCAAGCACTTTATCTTGTGTGATGCCTCAAAATGGCATCCGCTTGTTGCTGCATTGTAGAGCTCTTTTCGACACAGTCTTGCCGGTTCAAGCCGCCTGCTTGAGCTCCCCTCTTGGTGTCGAGTTCGGGAACCCTTTCTCTTCACCTTGCATGATCGGGCTGTTGTGGTAAAACACCGCAACATTTGAGCCTGCTTTTTGTCAAAACCATCGGGTTTGTTGTGATCAGTCAGTCAGTTTTGGGTGTTAGGGTTACAGGGGTTGTATGATTACAATAAGGTTGTGGGGTGATGCGGGCGAGTGCCTGTCGACGAAGCTGAAATAACAGACGACAGATGCTTGTCAGAGTCTATATACATAGGCGAACAAACACCTACAATAACCACATTTATTACTGATTTGGTGCAGATACTAGGTTGCAGAAGCCGAACCATTGAATCGTAATTTTGGGGACCAAGAGTCCAAGATAAAGTCCAAGATCTGTGCAGGGAGTTCACGCCGGGCTTAGGGCATTTACGCACAAGATTGCGCAGCTCAGAAGAATAATTGGTCAATTGATGGGAAAAGCACATCTTTCAGAAGTGACCAATTTGGTTCAGCATGGAAGCGAATGTCATTTTCAAGTATTTGGCTCGGTTTGGCCCTTTTGGGGGGCGGCTTGTAGCTTAATGCCGTTGCTGATGGCCGCATAGGGTCTTGGGGTATCTTACAATCTGGATGTACTATTGCAGAAAAAGGTAGTCTCTTCTGGTTCTGTTTTTCTGAACTCCAGCCTCCATGCCCCGAAAAGCAATGGCCGAACCAGATCGGACAGACTCACAGGCGAACGATTTGGCCGACGAAGACTCGGACATATCGATGCTTCAGGTGGGGTGCTTGGTGGCCGCACATGTTCATTCCACGAGCATTCCCGTTCAAAACGGTTGTAATGGGTCCACGTAACATGCAAGGTTGCAAACATCGTAAAGCCTACGTAGCTTCTTCTGCTTGGTGCAGTTTGACACAGACGCGGACAGACATTTGGGAAGCAAGTCGCATCATCCAGAACCCACAGGTCGTGGAGCGAAGCCTCTCCACTCAGAAGCGTTGCTCAGCAGCAGTTACCCTGTCCTTGAAACAGCCCGAATCGACGGTTGTGCTTGGGTGCTATATGCTGCATCACCGGAATAGGAAGGCCCATCACGGCGGCTCTCAGCTTAAACGGCTAGTGGAGGCTTTCTGCACACGGGGATACCCCCGACGATCGATGGCATTGCCACTACCTGTAATTCCCAATGCCTCAAGCTGGCTGCCAGCAGGAATTGTGGCCGAGTTCTACAACAATGCTTGGGGCGATCATCTTGACGACATCACTATGTTCAAGAACTTGATCAGAGCCATTTGCCTGCAGATCGTGTTGCCATGCGCTTTGCTTGTCGCAGTGGTTGTGAGCAAGGCCCTTTTCTGAATGCGCCTGGCCAAGGAGCTCCAGGACGCTTTGGACAACGAGCAGCCGCGCAAAGCGCCTCGCCTCAAGCATTCGGCGCTGCCTTTTCTCCCATCTCCGTGGCGTCAGTACCTACCAAACTCGTGCGGCAGCACTTCCCCAGAGCAGAAGCATGGCGTTTACAACTTGGGTTGCCCTGCAGATGTCTCGTTTGCTTGGGCAGAGCGTGGGCGACGAGTCCCGAAGCTGAAACAACACTGAATTATTTGACTTTCTTGGCACTTGGATCCTGAGAAAGAGTCGTGTCGGGAAATGTCCGTGGTGGAAGACTGCACAACGAAGCCCCCAAGCCCGAGCCGCCACGAGCTGAAGCACAGAGTGAGAAAGAGCCCAAGGGCCCTCCTCAGGCGAAGCCTCGCTCGAGCAACCAGGGCGACTACACAGCTGTGCCCAGTGAGCAGCCGCAGGCAACGAGCCCGACTGTGTGGGGGTGGCGCTTGAGTTCGGAAGCTTACCCTATCACTCTCGATCTCTGCGGCCTTCGACGTCTGGATGAGCTCCCGCACATTGGACCCTGAAGCTTGAAGTCCCTCGAAGCCGACACACGAATGTGCATATGGCAGGCGGTGACGCCTACGCAGACTGGTCTGAGCTGACAGCAACGATGTCACACTCAGCGTGGGGAAGGGGGGTTGGAATCAGAAAGCACCGAAGTCGAAAGATTTACCCTGCGAACCTGCCAACAACCAGTCCGGTTTACTTGTTCAGCCTATGAACGGAAAGCCCTCCACAGAGGCTCATCGTGCGCGACACCCAGTCACCCAGCGTTGTGTCGCACTGTACATGCTTGCAGGACTCCAGGGCCACGTCGTTGTTCGACTGGATCCTTAAAATTCACCATCAACGAATGCTGTTGTCCGAAGAGTGTGGTCGGTAGAAGAGCATTATGCAATACCTGCTTAGCAAAAGCCTGTCCTGAAATAGCCGAAGTGACACTGCTTTGTAACGGCATCGTTGACAATGATTATTGCCATGACACGGACATGTTCACGACGTGGGCATGACGGCTCTGGCGAATGGCAGCGGTCACCGGACGAAGCGAGCTGCGAGCTGCTGCTACGTCCCGTCTATTCGCATGCGGTTCTGTGTGTTCCTGACTGCCAGGCGAGCCGAGCAACAAGGCCAAGGCTCGGTGCTTTTGTGTCAAGTGGCGAAGCACCACACAAGCCACACAAGCCTATATAGTATTGGTAGTGCGCCGAGAACCGTGCGATCCCGTGCGAAGTGCCACATGCTCGTGTGCACAGGTCTTGTTCAGAAGATACAGGCTCCTGATGCAGAAGTCTGGCGGCAGGCGGACGCGGTCCATCAAAGCTCCAAAACCCCAGAGCCACGTGCGAGGGGTTTTCCAGCAGCCCGAAACTCATCCTGCTTTCAGGCTGCCTCGAATTGAGATGAAGGAGCTCGGCCCTTCCTTCCAGCTCACCCTCGACCGAACGAGGCTCCCGTGGTACGGATCCGATGCAACGGCTGCGCAGGGCGCGGTGCATTCTGCCTTGAATGCCAGGGAGCCGGACAAAGATCGGTGGAAGCAGGCCATCAAGGTCCCCAAAGCCGCCAAGCCCAAGAAGGCCATGCTCGATCAGGTACACTTACAGGCTGCAAGGTGCCGGAAAGAGTTTCGTGGGCAGGGAAGGGGAGGCTTTCCTCTGGCTTGGAAGCACTGTCATCACGCTCTGCAACGGGAGGTCAAGAATGTGAAGACGACTGAAATGGGCAAGAGGATAGGCAAGTTCCACTTAGGCCAGGTCTCTCCAGCACGTCGACAGGCAAAAATGCTACAGTGCACGTTGCTTACTACCCCGCTCAGGCAAGCAAGACTTCAACCAGATCCATACCATCCATCATGGCAGGGAACCGAGCGTCAGCATGTCTGCGGGAAAAGCCCGCTCGTTCTGGCGACCCTCCTGCGAGCCTGCGACCCGAGTTTCTGAGGCGCGTCAAAGAAGCGGAAGCTGACCCAAGCGCTGAAACAGGGAGCTTCGAATGCGCCCAAAGGCGAGGTGCGAGAAATAACTCTTCCACAACATCTTGCTGTCCGGAAGCTATGCGAATTCTGACTGTCGATGCTATGCTGGATGTAAATCATAAACTGGACCAGTATGCAAAATCGAGACTCTTCAGCAACGATGCCGGGCAGCGCCAGGTTCTTTCCTCCACAATCTCTTGCCACCTTGCCTGTCTGACGCATGCTCGGATCTTTTGCTTATGGGAGGGACCCCCAGAAACACTTGAGGAGCAAACACAGCCGGAGTGGATTCTTTGCAGCATTACGATGCCCTGGGGTTATCTGTCTAGTGAAATAGTTGAACTGCGATGCCCTGAGTAAATTCGAGAAGTTTGTGGAGCTGTAGCTTATACAGTTTGGAGTTTCAGGGACTGAGATCAAAACAACCGCGTACTGTCATGCAAAGCAAAATCCCGATCGTTTCAATCCCGATTCTTGCCTTTGTTCTGGGAGGCGACACGCCCACGGACGCCAAAGCAGCGTGAAGCTGGGAGTTGCTCCTGGGCAGGATGGGACCTGGGCAAGTACAGCATCAACATCTTCATGCACCAAAGAAGCACCCCTCACCATGAAACCCATTCCCGAAACATGCCTGGGGGAGACAGTTTCACCTCATCTACATAAGCGGCGGACCATGCAATCTGATGTGGTGTCATGTGTGTCCTGCTGCAAAGCAGGTTGCAGCAGGTGAGACATGTGCCACAATCAAAGATTCTGCAAGCATCCGTCCTCTTTCGAGCCAGACGGTGAAAACGTCTGAGAGCTTGCGCTGCATACTGGGCACTAGCCAATAGCAGTCTAGCATTCTTATTTCGCACCTCGCAAGATAGTGTAGAAGCCAGCCGAAATTCACTCCTCCGTCAATTTCCGGCTTGCAGCGTAGCCATGAGAAAGAGCGATGCCACGGAATGATGGACGCCCCACGGCTGAATTCGACGAGCAAGTGGATAAATGTGGATAACCTCCAAACCGCGCAGCCCTCCTCGTCCTCATGAACTGTCTTAGCGACTGCTGCCTCAGTCAGACAGGTCAAGCCAGCATCAACACGTTCCAAAGGCATCACCTATAGCTTAAGCGAGTGGGTTGACTGTGAGAAGAGCAGAAAGTCGGAAACCCAAAAGGATATCATGCGGATTGCTGTCAGTAAGCCCTGCCTAGGGGATGTGCCTGTCTTTACGGTGGAGCTCGGTCTCCGAAACTCCGAGCTCAAGCTCCAGACCGAGGCCTGCAGAGCTTCGCTTCGATAGCTTGGGGTTTCGACGGGTGAAGCCTTGAGGGTACCACGTCCTTCGGAGCGACTAGATCCGAAGGAACGGAACGCCGGCAGGAGCTTATGCAGTCGATGTAGCAGCTGCTTCTAGTAGCCACACGGTCACGCACGCACACACACACACACACACTCCAGCTCCTGTGCTCGAGCCACTGAAGGCAAGGCTGCAGGGCAAAAGGAACGACGGATCAGCAAGAACTTCTTGCTTGCCGAGTGGCCATCTCCATGGCCGGAAAATCCAAATACGAGTCGGCCAGCAATGCAGAAAGTATTTGCTAGCCGTGGACATAGGGGAAGCCAGTAGCTGGGTGCTTGGCAACAAATCATGCCGGCTGTACATCCGCCTATGACACTACAACCAGTGTGCAGTACATTCCCTTATGCTGATACATTCACCCTGGCATCGCGGCAGCATGCTTTGGAGCAGCGGTTACATTCAGACGTTGAGCCTTCTAGGTGTCAACGCCGCGAAAGACACCCAGACGGCATAGCCGCCCGAGGCCCATCCGTGTCAGGGGGTATTCCGAGTCCACCGAAGACCATCGCTGGGCCAGGGCCTCCTCTTTCGCACCACCCTTGGTGCCCACAAGTCCGGCCAAGCCGCGCCTTGGCGATGAGCTGCACGGTTGCTGTCGGTCCTCACTTGCGGTTATCAATTTCGGCGTGGTTAGCTTTGCTGGTGCTAGTCGCTCTAGTAGTCGGAGTCCGGTATTCGCACTAGAATCAGCACATGTACTAGTATCAAGATCACTATCAGCTCTAACTAGCCGTAGCAGTAGCAGCAGCAGTAGTGGTGGTTGTGGTTGTAGTTGTTCGTAGTCGTGCTCGTTTTGCTCTTGCTGCTGGTGCTGGCGCCAGCGGTGGCGGTGGCGGTGGTGATCGTCGTCGTCGTAGAGCCAGCAGCAGCCACAGTGGCAGTACATGTTACTAGTCAGTCGTCCTCGCTGTTGTTGGTGCGGCTGGGCTTGTCGGCGATGAAGGCCGACACCGGAGCCCCGTCCACCGTCGCCGCTGCGACGGCCTCCCACGGGGCGACGGCGGAGCAAAGCCCCCCAGGTCGGGAGCAGATTCTTTCCATCACACGCTTCTGTAGTACCAGGAAAAAATCCTTAGGCGCTGTCCTTTTGCCAGGCTCCACAGACTCCCACTGCAAGGGAGGAAGAGGCCGGCCCGCATCACCGGGAGTCCCCTGTGTGCCTCATTCCTGAAACAATTGAAGAGAGGGCTTAGTTTCTATGCATGTTCCCAACGACAACTGCCAGCGAGGCTCCACAGCGCTCGAGCCGTGACCATCGCCACGTGCGCATTGCTGCAGCGACGGTCGACAGCAAAGCAGTCCAGCAGACGGAGACACTTGATATCAAGAACGGTTGAGGGCATCAGCAGAGGTACACGCCCTTGGCAGCCTTGTCAAACCCGAATTATTGCCCCAATTCATGCTTGTCTGGAGATCGTCCTCAACTTTCAAGGCTGCTTGTACCGATGAATACGATCAAATTCCCTCTCTGAATTCCTCTCGTCCTTCATCAGTTGCACTGCTTTAAGTGTAGAAACAAGGACTGCCAGAACGCGGTCGCCAACTCGCTCACCTATCCGCTCGCCCCCACTCTCTCGACGAAGCTCTCCTCGTGCAGTGACTGTTTTAGGCACGGGGTGCCAGACAGAACGGGCAAACCATATTGTTCTAGCCGGCATGCTTTGCAGATTGGCGTGAGCAAAACAGCTTTGCAAGCCCCGCAAAAGTTTCGTGGCTGCGGTTAGCGCTGCTCTAGCTGCCAGCGTGAGCTACACGCTTGGCCCAGCCCCCCCGCGCAGAATCCTTACAGGCCTGCACGGGAGACCGCCCTCGATGCTGGAGCGCTCGGAAGCATGGCAGAAACAACGACTCTTGCCTGCAAGCGAGGGTTCTCTGCAAAACTCAGAAATCCAATTCCGCTTTAGGGATACGAAGCGTAGTGTGGTTTTGGCTATAGCAAGGGAGATTCCTACCAGTAGGGCCCGGCGAGTGCCGGCTGCGTCTATGTGCATGCCACCTCGCGCGATGCAAGCTTCCGCAAGGCGAGGAGAAGCTACAAGCCTTGAGGGAGAAGTGCCAAGCCGAAATCGGCCGGAACCCTCGGCTACGTTCATTTGCTTGCGCAGACGTACCGCAAAGTGAGCCCGGCCTAGACTCGCCGAGCCTTCTGGCATGATTGGCAGCTCATCCTTTCATCGGGGGCTCGGCTCATGCTTTGTTTGTTCGAGAGGCTCCTTCTCCCCGAACCTGTACCGGCCTGTGCGCTCCCCTCGGTGGCTGGCTGGGCCCGAGGGTGGCGGAGGCCCGAAGTGTCCTGAAGACTTCTTGGGCTTACCCAACCTGTTCCCATGCAGAGCATCAAGTTGCCTTGCAAGTGATGTAATTAACAACTTGCTTAGTCGACCTGTTTCGGAGGGGTCCCTTTGGATTGAACCAACGGAGTCCACTTAATATCACTTCATCCACTTTACGGTTGCCTGCTGCATCATAGCATGGCCGAAATCCGAAGGCCCAAACCGAAACTCCACGTCAATGTATCTCCACCAGGTTTGTTCGAGCGTGGGATGCGGTCGATCGCCAGGCCTCCGATGGGAGAGATGTCCTTGTATGCTTCTTTGTGTAAACATGTGGAACACATCTTGTCAGACCAGACAAGCAGTGGAGAAGTTGCATGAAGCCGGTTCCGGCACGAGAGTGCCTCGTGAATCCGAGGCGCGCTTTGGAGAAGAGGCGGTACGAGGAGGCCTTGCGAGGACGTGCCACAGAGAAGGAGGGATCGAGCAAGTCAGAAATTTCCAGGCTCAGCTCGAGTCCGAACTCTTGCAGTGCCCTTTTACGCCAAAGCTGAGCACCTGGTCTCCGGATTCGAGGTGTGGCAGGGTAGGGGGCCTTCCCATCCCAACACTCCCGTGACCGCAACCTTCTGGCCACGTGCTACGGCGCCGTCAAAATCTGTTGCCACGCTCATGGCTTTTGGGTTTTGCTTTTCCAGCCGCGCTTTTTTGCATTGCCTCCATCACGCAACGCACCCACGACTCTTGGTCGCAGCATGTCGCAGCCACGTCCGCAAGTGGACATGCATTTCCAAAAATGTTGGCAGGATCTGCCACTGCCTAGAAAATCTCACAGTCGCCTTTTCCAGCCTTCTCGGCAGAGGCCCAGCTCCGCCACGGCATCCCCGTCGCCAAAGAGGCGAGAGCACATGTTGAACTTTGAACTTCGGAAGGCCTTGGACCACAGGTCCAAACGATCGCATCGAAGCATATTGAAGCTGCAGGAAGCCCCTGCGAGCCGCTGTGGCCTCATTGGCCTGGGATGAGCGGCCAAACCCTGAAGGCGGCGGTCCAGGGATCCTCCATGAATAAGGCAGAAGTTCTATGATCAGCGTTTCCGGCTTCAATCATCGCCAGGTTGCCAAAGCAAACACACATCACGTTGGCAAAGCAGCGACAGTTCAGGTCAGGTCACTCCGGAGCGGGCGAAAGAGTTTTACCACAAGCAGCAGGCGTGGTTCGAGGCCGCCCAGAGTTTGGACATCTTGCAGGGAAAGGGCAGGCTGGCGGGATCCGTTTGGATGCCGATCCATCAGATTGGGGTTTTCATCTTCAAGCACAAATGAAAAGAGTTGCGATTGATTGCATTCCATTTTGGGGGACATTGGTGAATCCCCTGTGCTGCTCCAGGCGAAGCAAGAGGAGCAAGACGAGCTTCGCAAGGCCAGTGCATGTCTGCACAAGTTAACATTGAAATGTGGCCCTTTCAGGAGCACATCTTCCGCACCTTGCAGGAAGAGGCAGAAGTCGCGCTGGCATGCTTGAGTGTTGAAGCTAAGCAAGGCATTGATCCTTCCACAACACGTTCTTGGTGGTTTTTCAGGAAATCCGTAGAAAGCTTCTTCGAAGCTGATGAGGAGAGCTTTGGAACATAGCAGACCTTTCACCCCTAGTGTGCACTCACTGCAACCGGTCCTCGGAGTCGGAGAGCGCGTGAACTCAGCATGGTTGAGACCTTGCAGAGGCCGGACCGGTAGTATTCGCCCTGGAACGCTTGGAATGTCCTACCACCTGCATTCCTCTCCCGATGTTGCCAGGCCCGGAAGAGCGAACGTCCCCCGAGAGGCGAGACGGGCCCTCTGAAGGCGAGGCTGCCGACGGCGTCTTGCAGCTCGATTCAGGAATGGTCGGATCTCTTTAAGCATGTCTTGGAGGAAGTTCGCACCTTTGCCTCTGAGATATTCTCAGGGGACGTCTTAAAAGCATGTTTATGTCTGTCTTCATTCCGCATACAGAGGTCGCGTTAAGCACTTGACCCCATGTAACGCACCATGTGCGCAGCCATTTATGTGGCCAAGCCCTGAGTGAGTTCTGTGAACGAAAGGTCAGATTCGTTGATGGCCACCTGGATGTAAAAGCTGCGTGTTGTGATCGGCTTGAGTACCTTATCAAAAGTATGGAAAGTGTGAGACAAGCAGCGGACAGGAGCACCTCAGAGGATACTGTGGCTCTCAACATCAGGCCCACACACACACACAAAAAGAGACGGACACACACCTCGGCTCTCTGACCCTGGATCAGTAGAACTCTCGAAAAAGTCTGGGACAGGTTGGTGGCGTTTTATCGAGGACTGTCTACGACCGCCAGGTGAGAGACTCAGCCAACGGACTGGACCGGGACTCCGGTCGGGGAGCTCTAGATCTCAAGCCTCGGCTCCGAGCGCACATGCTCAGATTGCCTGGCTACGGCAACGCGATGCCGAGCTCCTTGAGCAGCGCAGGTCGCAGTTCGAGGCCCGAGCATACCCGAGCTGAGCAAATGTTTCTATGTGTAGAGCGATTTTTCCGTGGGCCTTGTTGTGACGAAGCTGCTCTGTGCAAGGCGGTAACTAGCCGAGACTCTTTCGGCTCCGGCAATGACACGCCGAGGTCGGCAAAGGGATGTTTTGGATCCAGAAGTTGTTGCAGGGCTGTTATCCTCCTGATTCGGCACGAGGAGGCGGCCCATGTCGGCGCCGGTCACGCCACAGCGTAAGCTGGAGGCCATGAGAGCTACAGTGGAGACTCTGCGGTTGGGTCACCGAGTCACGGGTTGCGGGTTGCCGTCGTGAAGGCTCCGACTGCCAGTGGCGCGGGCGCAGCTCTCCTGGCGAAGCTCAAGGCCGCCAGGCCAGGCCCTCAGGTGAAGGCCTTCGACAAGATGTGCGGAGGGCGGAACCCCAGAGGTATCTTGATGATGAGCCTCCAGCGCCACGACGGCACACGGAGCCGCGCGGGCCGGATCCCCGAGATGTTCGGGAGCCCACGAATGACAGCGGCCACACAGCAGAGAAGATCGAAAGCATTCCTGACTCCTGACTCTGCACTATGTCAGCTGTGCACTGGCAAGAAGTCGAAGCTGCAACTGACGATGGAAGCCATTTCAATGCTTGGAGGCTCTGGAGCCGTCCACCACGCCGGAGGCAGAATTTTGGTTCCAGTGTTGGCCTTGCGTGTGTATTGTTGTTATGACTCGAGTTGGCATTGAATCATGCTGGACCTTGATTGAATTAGGATGAGATTCGCAGCAAGCCGGGGATGTAATAATCCAGGACTGCTTTGGTTTCAAGGGGACACGCTGTCAACCTGCGCTGGTAACATACAGGGCCCCTACAGTCAATAACAGCTTTTTGCAACACGGACCTCCAGCGACTGCTCGCACGTAAACGGCCCTCAAGTCGCAAGTCTGGAAGATTACAAGAGTAGGGAAGAGTCCTGCGAGGTCTGGCATGGCAGCGGCCCTACTCGCAAAGAACCAATCGAAGTCAAAGAAAAAGGGTTTGTTTTGAATTGGCTTGCCCTTTTCGGCTTTATCAGGAGGTCAGTATGATAAGGACGCGGAACTCGAGCGAGGAATGTCCAAACTAGACGGACCGGCTTGTTTTTTCCGTTTCTGGCAGCAGACAACATGCGCATGGATTTGGCCTGAGAGAAACTACCTTTCAGGGCTTATGTATGAAGCTAAACATGTTTTTGCCTGCTGAGGTGCCGTGTCACGGCACATCTAGCATCGTAGAATGCAATCTGGTAGGTTGTTGAAGGCAAGAACTCGAAATGGCAAAAGTGTCATCCGCACATTGACCATCTGCACGACGAACTATGGGTTGTGCTGGAGTGCTAAGGTTGCATGCACGACCTGCAGCCGACCATGCCCCGTTGACGTTCTCCACTGCAAGCACTGTGGCCAGAAGCGCCTGAAGGCGACGAGAATCGCATGAACGCAGTCAGTTCCGTGCAGTCCGTCCGCCTGGATCGGCATCCCACGTCCAACACCAGGTCAGGTTCAGATGGGTGGGTGGTTCTTCCTGCATGCGCGAGTCTTCACATCACGAAAGTTTCTGAGAACAACACTGCAGCGGCAAAGGCGGCGACAGCACAGAAGCGGGGTTGCGGGGTTGTGGGCACTTCTTTTACCGCGAAGCAGATCTTGCGATGGTGCTTCTGCAGTTACCGGGCATGCACAGTGCAAGGGAGCGTGGGGGGAAGCTCGCTCCCGGCTCTTCCCGAGATTAAGCCTTCCGTTGTGTGTGCTCCGTTGGTGGTGTGGTTTGCGCTCAGGTGGCCGCCGCTCGGGGCGATCCTTGTGGCTTAGGCAGGGACGGTGGACGGCAGGGCCTTTTTCTGGTGTTTTTCGCATATTCAGTTCTGTATTCTGGAAACGGGACAGGGAAAGGCCTGAAGTGTCTGCCGGTTGTTGCCGTAAGAGAAGTCGATGTGAGGGTTGTTGTAAGGGTGTGCGTCTTCTGTTTACACAAAACCGGCCATGTGACAAGGTTTACGGACGGGGTCCGGTAGTCGGCGCGCAAAGAAACCCCCTTTGCGAGAAAATGCGCAGCTTTCCGGCCACATGCCGCTAAGAGGAACTTTGTAGAAGCGAAACTGTTACGATGTATCCTACTGTCCGCCCCGCCAGACTACACGGCCAACTTCGGCTGGCCCCTGAATTCGGAGGTACTGCGGTGCAGCATGCGCACCTTTCATGTGCCTCGAAGTGTTCCCGCAGTCGCTGGAGATAACGTTGTGAAACTGCAAGTGGCCCCTAGCAGCCGAGCATGGGGAATGTGACTTCTGGCTCAGTAGGACAAACTGTAGCCGAGCACATGTCGATACGGTCAGGATCTTGTCCTCGGTTAAGATAAGCTTTGGCCTACCGTGCATAAACATGATTAAACATGCCAGTCTTGGTAGATTCAGCGCTCACGAGCCACTGACCCTGCCATACCCTGCAACCGTCACAGCAAACAGAGGCTTTAGAAGTAGATCGCTAATGCTGCAGCTGCGCGTGAACCCAGCCTATCTCCAGAGGAGCGCTTCGGATGCAGAAATGTTTGATGTCATCAGCATTACTCGCGACTAGGCATGTGCATTCTTTGCATCGTCGCACGGATGCCTTCAGAGGAAATGGGTGGTGGGGTCAGCGGTGGCACCCGCACCCAGCTGGCACGCCTCAGATGAGCTGCTTAGATGTGGTGATTCGGATGCTCACGCCTGCGGCCAGGCGGGAACTTTCCTCGCGGAGCAGACCCACTTTCAGCCCCCTAAGTGCCCTCGCAGATGCGCGTGCTCTTGTCCTAGATACTCGATGATACTCGTTTTCGAGCCGGCTGCCGCTAGGTACACGCTGGTTAGCGTGAGCTCAGCTCTCGGGCGGACGCCCCAGCATGTCCGCTCACCACTCGAGCTCGGGAGAGGCTGCACCACCGTTCCGCAGGCCAGATGGCTGTCCCAGGCACGTTCCCAGCTCGTCAAGTGTGACTCTTACTCCGAGGGAAAGACTTTTTGCCACGGATGGTAGAGCATGCAAAGGGGTTGGGTCGGGAATCCTTTTTGCTGCGCACAAACACGCCGTAAACACGCAGGTAGACGTAGACTAGACATAGATACGTCCTTGCCCTGTAGCTTACCTGCCGACGACGTCAACAAACGCATTACACAGGCATGCATTGTGGATCGCAAAGGCATGCTCAGCACCTTTATAGCTGCGCATGTATGTGCTGGGTGAATATATTATTTGCAAATTGTAGATGATATACTTACAGAGAGAGAGAGAGAGAGAGAGAGAGAGAGAGAGAGAGAGAGATTCCATGGCTGTAGCCTAAATCCAAGCCTACACTCGTTCGTCACGCCTCTCGTCCCGATAAAAAATCGGGTGGGCTTGAAGCCCGGAGGCCTTGACCGGCCCTCAAGCCCAGGAGAGGAGAGAGAGAGAGAGAGATTCCATGGGCGGAGAAAGCATGGGCTTCATCATGCTTCATCGATTGGTACGGCTGCCAAGGTGAGTTTGAAGATTTGGATTCTCTATTTCCGGGAGAGAGATAGGGAGACAGACGCGCACGCATAGACACGTGGATGCATGCATAAATGCATACACTTATGCATGCCCACATAATTACTTAATTACTTACGTAATACATGCATAAGCCCATGCATGCATGCAAGCATGCATACGCGAAGACACAGGGAGGGCTGGCAAAGCAGGAAAAACCGATGGACAAATGAGTAGGTGAGTAAATGGGATAGACGGATAGACGGACAGATAGATGGGTTATCTCTACACAGAATCGTTTGCGTATACGTACCCACACTTAACAAATGCGGGTACATGAATACATTTGATACCGTCAACATCAAGTACAAAATCACCTGTTGCTGAAGATCCGCTTGCTAAGGTGCCGCAGAGCGAAACGGACGCATTCGCCCTTCCGGGGGCCCGGCACCAGGTGCCGAGAAGTTTTGGGCAGGATTTGAGAGAAAGGTTTAATTTAGTTTTGTCAGCTCTTTGTCTGCTGCAGACACTGTTGGCTTTTATCAGACCATCCGCCTTGCAGACTGTAAGCATTTGGGCGGCGGGGTGGTTTCAGAAATTGCTGCCTGCCAGTTATGACTGTTATCCCTGCGCTGGCTGACATCGAGCCCTTGCTGAAGGCGAGGTCGGCATCATTGCTTGCAGAGCAACAGCAAAGGTTTGCTTCGGCTGATCATGGCACCTCAGCCGCCATCCACCTGAGGAAAGAACGGACGAGTTCGCCAGAAGCTTAACCACCATAGGCAACGACAGCTTCTGCAAATACATGCAGGGTCAGCAGGGACTGCAACCATCGATTCAGAGTATGAACCAGCTAGAATGGGAGAGGAGATGCTTGCGGAATGGCTATTCGGAGATCCACAGTTGCAAGCCAATGACCGTGCGATCGTACTCCGGGCTGCTTTGCATGTGCCTTGGCCAGCGAAGCTAAGGTGAAGAGTGCGGGGCGTGTCGAACAAGGCATCGTCAGGGTCAGCGGCCATCGACGACTATCGCGAGCTGAACAGCTAAGCTATCAGCGGTGGTCGATCTTGCTAAGATGTTCCAGCCTCGTGGTATCGCTCCAGGATCGAAGGAGAAAGAGGTCAATGAGGCCTGCAGGGCGGTCAGAACAATTCTTCTGAAGAACCGTGGCTGACTTACCGTTCCAGCATCAAGAGCTTCAGTATCGATTTAGAACTCTTTGACGGGAGACTTTGCGTCTAGCGCTGTTTTCGAAGAACGATTTGCCATGGTTTGATCAAGGAACTGCTGGAAGCAGGCTACGAACATCACTTGGTCTTGGCCGATGTGAAAGCAAAGCCGCCTGTAAATCTTATTCGAGATGGTCACTGGAATCTCTGCGTGGCTCCGCGGCCAAAACCAACCTTCCTCCCGGTGTTACCTTTTTGTTCATCAAACTGCCCTTCCGTCCAAAACTCCGAAGCCTCGCTCGCAACAACTCAAAGAGACATTTTGGATCCATGCTGTGGGACCCAAAACAGAGCAGCTATAACGACTCAGAATTTGTCTTAGCGACGTGCCAGGATTCTCCTCCGCGGCCCCGGAGAGGAGGAGCCAGGTGGAGCTTTGATAATAATGATGATAATGGCAGCAATAACAATCGCAATATGGTTTGTATTAAGAAGAACAAAAACAATAAGCTCGTTTTGGTCAATGTTTTCAGGGGCAGGGCTTGCGGCGGTTTAGCCTCCTCGGATGATGGTCCTCACGCTCTTTTTGCCCCGTGCCGCGCTTGAAGGGGATTGAATAGGACCAGTCGGCTGTTTATTCTTTGGGATTCAGACTCCTCCAGCCGTTTCGTGGCTCTAAAGCACCCGGCGTCGATCCAGCGGATCTGCCTTCAATAAAAATCTTGCACTTGGCTGCACTGCCTACAGCTGATGTCACCACTCGTAACGCAACATTCAGCATGATGCTTGCACTGCGAAGTCTGCGGTCGGTGATGTTGACCTGCGAAACAAGAAGCCGCTACTCCTTGACGTGTTCCTACTTGCAAGACACGATCAAGCATGTCAAATTGCGTTTGTGCTAGGGGAGCTGCAGAGCGCGATGCCGCGGCTGCCTCCGAGGTGGGAAGATGCAGTGTCACAAGGCAGCCCTCCATCCGAGCCTCTGCTTTGCTTCCTGGGTCCCAGACCCTGTTCGTTGATGCATTTTGGCTTCCGAGACGTGAGTCGTCTTGATTCTGAAAAGAATCAGCAATGCCTAGGACAGATGCTTCTTAACCCCCCGGATTGCAAAACCCAGAATGCACACCTGACCCAGTGCCACACCCGAAGTCGAGTCTGTTGCCATGCCCTTGGACCTGGGTGCGGTCGCACATGCAGTGGAGAGCAGCTGAGCAGCAGATGGCCAAATAGAAAAGGGCACGAGTCGACCCGGTCCCTTGTCCCACTCCCTTGTCTCTCATGGTTTGAGATATCTGTAGCAGAGGCTGGGTAGAGGTCGGACGTCTTTCAGGAGTCTGGACAAAAGCTTGTAGCATCTTGTAGCAACACGGCGACGCAGTCACACCGGGTGTGACTGCAGCTTTTCGAGAAGCCGTCATGACTCATGAGGTCCAATGCTAAGGAACAAGCTATGGCCAATGAACCTGGGAACGGAATGACGTGTTCTGTGTGCCATTTAATTAGTGCGTACGAAATGACACGCTCGTCGAGGCCAGGTAAGCTATGTCAGCCGGCAGCCTACAGCAGAAAAGGAATTCAAAAGCAGGCCTTCGCATCGCCGATCTGCACACCCTGCAGATGCAGTTCACTGGACCTATCCCGTAGCTGATAAGGCTGGTTCCACAGCGGAGAAGAGCCGCTCGCCTCGGAGGAGCACTCAGTGAAGACGTGCCGCCAGTTTGCTGGTTTTGTTTTGATCAACTCGGCCTTGGCCACCTTGGCCTTTGCCAGGAGCTCTTCTCACTGCCACTGGGCATGGGCTTGCGTCATACTGCAGCAGAGGCAGTTTCGCTCATCCAAGAAGCGGCCACACGAAGCAATTTCTGGAGATTCTATTCTGCTGCAGGCTCGCAGAGGAAGCTTGACGTCCTTCTTGGAAGGGCCGCATCACCAGACAGCGCTTTGACTCTATTAAATGCTATGCGTGGTGCCGACTTCAGAGGGTTTGTAAGGCCCTGTCCGAGGCCTTCCTAGCTCAATGGAATGCGGAGCAACTCCTCCAGCGCCGTGCGCAGCTGCGTGTCGTACCTTGGAGACGGCATGCTGGACTGGGCTTTGAGAAACAACTGATTAGAAGTAGCCGCCCAACCTAACGCTGAAAAGCAGTGCAGGGACTGCTAAGCCAGTCAGTATGTTGTTCTCAAACTCATGGTAAACTTTGTCCCAAAACCCTGCCAAGGCGTTCGGGATCGAGGGGGGCGTGGCAGCCTCGGGCAGTGGCCTGTTCATGGCCAAGCTCATTCGCCGGAGGCTCAGCAGTTGCTTATATGCAAGGTGTAATATATTGCAGTGCTGCAAGCCGGCTTACAGTCATGAAGCTTCCGTTGTTGCCTTCGACTTTGCCACTGGCTCTGCTGCCACGACAACAACTGCAGCCACAACAGCTGTCTAAAGTTTGCTGCCCATCGGCCACTTCGGACAGGACTCTAAATCCATGCTGAGCTGCTGCTGTTGCTGTGTTGCTGCTCCTGCTACTGCCGCTACCACCACCACCACCACCACCACCACCACCACCACTTGCTGTGCAGCGGCCGCTCCTGCTCTCATCATAGCGCCTAATCGGATTGCTGCCGCTGCCACTGCTACTGGAAGCATTGTGACTGATACTGGCTTGTTACTTACGCCTTTCCTATCATTCCAGTTGTCACTACTGATCTCTACTCAGGCATCGCGCGGCGAATCCAAGCAGAAGAGGCCCCTTCAGTCGTGTTTGTTCACCTGTGGCAGGAGATGCTGTTGGTTCAGGCTCTCACTGTTTTCGCAGCAGATCGCGTTAGATGGGAAGCCAGGAAGCCAGGGAGAAAGCCGAAGAGCAGGGAGATGACGAGGAGTGCTAGTGAAACGTTCTCAGATTCTCATGTATCCTCGAAGACCCACTCGATTTTGAGAAGTTGGTATCCTGATTTCACTGCCAGGAGGATAGCGATGAAGCTTCTAGCGATCACGGATCTGCTGGCTGCTTAGAGGACGCTGGGGTTGCTGCAGGGCTTAGGTCCTGGGTACAAGTTTAATTAAGTAGTTGTGTGACCGCTGTGCACAGGAGCAGGCAACTGTTGGAGTTGTGCCTCTTGTCTACAAGCTGAGCTGTGATGCTTCTAACCCTGGCTGAGAAGCACTCTATCTTCTGGCTGTCTTTGTTTAGAAGCCCAGGCATCGCTACGTTCCGGTCGGAACAGAGCTGTGAGGGCTGTACCGTACGGTGGGTGCGAGCAGCATCACCAAAGTTTATTGCGGGCAAGTCTTTCCATTGCCATCCTCGACTTGAGCAAGGGTGCATCGCCCAAGCATCATTTTAGTTTGTGGCCAGTCGTGCATGTCAAGTCCTGATGTGGTCCAAAGTGCCTGCTTGTGATAATGAGAGGGCATGGCCTTCAGCCTGGTGGCTGCCCGTTGACTCCGGCTTCCGACAGCTGCAAAAAGAATCCAAGTAAATATGATTCTAGCAGTCAAGCAGACGACCCTGACGGAGCATCGGCAGCACCCTGCCAGCAAGCTTAAAGGCACACCGCAGCCGGACTGGCAGCAGCCCATCGCAAGAAAAAGCAGTCTGCAACCTTTGCTCAGTTGGCTGTCCCTGGGGAATGAGAGATATAATTCTCGTCGTCAAGACCTTAGCGTCTCCTCTGTGACAGCTGGCCAGGCCGTCAATCGACTTTGCGCTGGTCGACACACGCCGTGGGTGGCGAAGAGGTCCTGATAAGCTAAAGCTGACCAGTGACAGAGCACACCGGCACAGGGGGAGAGTGAGAGAGACAGAAGAAGCGGAGTTGCGCATTGGCGTCACGAGTTCGCGCTGAGACCTGCTGAGACCTGCAGGAAGAAGAGAAGAAGAGAAGAAGAGAGACATTTCTGTGTATGACATGTACACACCTACATAGATAAACATATTCATGAACAGGAATGCGTTTATGAATAATCCCTTTGTGCATGATGTGCACGGTCTTCTTGATGTGTATGCACGAAACAACTACTGCAACGTCGCCGAAGACAGTGTTCCCTTCTCCTCAACATGGCTGCACCCCCGCCAGATGCACCGGTCCAATTTTAATTTCCAGGCATCGGCAGCAGTGATGATCCGACCTGAGACATGACAAGTTAGAAGGAATCTTATATACTTGCAGAATCATGTTGCATGGTCCCTCTCACATCAAAGATTCCAGGGCCCAGGGGAAAGTTCTGCGTCAGCCCGAACAACGCACAGCTCCGGCATAACTCACCAATCTCATGACTCATAAGCTATTGTTTGTGTTTCTCATCAAGATTCTACGCAGATTGCAGTTTACGAATGTTGGTACTTTGGCAGGAGACCCTCTGTAAAGCTCAACTCGTAGGTTACCAAGAGAACAGGGCAATACAACAACAACAACAACAACAACAACAACAACAACAACAACAACAACAACAACAACAACAACAACAACAACAACAACAACAACAACAATACCGCTAAGAACGAGGGCAGTGGGGAGTTGCGACAGGGACAAGGCACGGAAGAATGATATCAGATGATTAGGGTTGGTCCGGGCGTGCCCGGATGTCCCGGTACATCTGCAGATTTGGTAAAAAAAAAAAAACAAGGCAGATGTCGCATTGTGTGTTTTGGTCTACTCCCCGGGTTTAGTGATGTCCAAGAGAGTTATAATTACAGCAGGCCTGGGCCCCGATGTCTAAACATTGGGGAGCGTTTTTGGATTTAGCGCATGTAAGATATCCTCGCACGCAATGCGTTTCCAGCTGTGGCAGCTGCAACGGTGTCGTCGTGCCAGGACAGATGCTGAACTTTACAGCTACCTTGCACAGCGCAGCCCGAGCCCTATTGCAAGCGGAGGGTTTGCAGCGATCTCTGAAGGCATCTTGTTCTTGAAACTGAGGTCGAGATCCCAACATGGCCAAACTTGCAGCATCCGCCGAGTTAGCATCGCCAAAGGCCATCTGTTGTCAGGGCAAACGAAGCAGCCGTGAGATTGATCGAAGCGTCAGACGGATCGTGCGTAGCGAACAAGGGAATGGACGCAGGCATCGACAGTACGATGGAAGAATCTTGAAAGACACATACTGAGAAAGTGCGTAGTTCCCCATCCATTTGTGAAATACTGTGCCTTTGTTTCTCATCCCAGGAGATGCGCATGGGTCATCATGCTTCTGTGTGCAACTACACAGTTGGACTTAAACATGTGGCCGTGCATACAATGCAAGCAACCGCGAACCTACATCCACGCTACAAGGCGGCGGACTCGACGGATAGCTCTCCCCGGAGCAAGGCGGTGTGCAGAAGCCCTGTAGCTCAGCCCTAGATTGATCCGAAGGATCCTATGTTTAGATTGCTTGCACAGTCAAATGCCGTTGTTCGCAGGCCAGACAGAAGCACAGCAGTCACAACGAGCTCTTTGACTCTTGCCTGCGGCAGGACCGGACTTGCATGACACCGTAAGTATGCAACAACGGATCCGTAAGTGCCAGGGAGCTCGTTCATGATGACTCGCGGCCCCACCCAACAACAGCAGCAGTCAACAGACACCATCGCGGCTCAACATAAACGCCCGGCCGCATTGCAAAGATGGCCAGTTGCTTCATGTTTGGAAGGACGGCGAGGGCAGACTTGCAAGACCTCGGTTCGGGTCAAGCTGCTAGTCAAGCTTCATGTTGGCATGCGATGCGCGGATATAGAAGAAACGGACAGTGGAAGAAGGCGCAGCACCTGTTGGCGGTCATGCCTTCCAGGAGTTTTGTGAGCCATCAATGGGAATTTAGCTCTGCCATCAGCTGTTTCGGAGAGGCTGCACAGTGGCAAAAGGCTCTCTTGGCCTTGGTTGACTTGACGTCCATCCGGTCTGCACCCGATGTAGTTACCTTCAGTGCAGCCGCTGGGGCTTCGCAAGCAGGAGCGCAGTGGTGGGTGCCACTGCAGCTGATTTCAAGCATGTCGCAGACCAGCGTGGTGCCCGACCGAATTACCTTCACTTGTGCGATCAGCTCCTGCGAAAAAACCTTCCGATGGCAGACAGCCCAGCATATCCTTTCGGCTATGCCTGGCGCTGCAAGCCAGCCAAGTGTCCTCGGCTTCAGTGCCTGTGTCAGTGCATGTGCCAGGGTCGGGCACTGGCAGCCTGCTCTCCAGATCTTGATGGATATGTCCCAAGTCACCACTGCACCGAACAGAATTACCATGAACTCCGCCATCACAGCTTGCAGGAATGGGGCACCGTGGCAGCTTGCTCTAGCTTCGCTGTCCAAAATGCCGCTAATGGCCCTTGTACCGGATCTCGTGACCATCAGTGCCACCATGACTGCATGCGATGTCGGAGGCCCGTGGCAAATCGCTCTTCATCTTTTTTCCATGATTTATTCCAGCAGTTTGACGCCGGACTTGATCGCCTTCAGCACCAGTATCAGCTCCTGTGAGAAGGGCGGATGCTGGCAGATGGCATTGCTTTTGCTTTCAGACATGTTGCATGTCCAGGTTCTGCCCGACATCATAACCTTAAATGCAGCCATCAGTTCATGTGGTAAGGGAATGCAGTGGCAGATGGCCCTGCATTTGTTGTCCCAGGTTCTGACTATGTGGCTTCACCCAGACACTGTCAGTTTCAGTGCAGCAGTAACCGCCTGTGAGAAAGCCGCTCGATGGGAGCAGGCCCTCAAACTGCTATTGCTTTTGCCAACTGTGCGAGTTAACATGAGCGATACGATTAGCTATGGAGCCGGCATCAGTGCTTGCGAAAAAGGGTTCCAGTGGCATAGAGCAGTCCAGCTGTTTGCCGACATACCCGTCATGCGGACGGAGGCAAGCCAAATCACTTTCAATGCTACTTTGAGTGCTTGCGAGAAGGGCTTCCACTGGCAGTCCTCACTGCGACTACTCTATAACATGCCCCTTGCGAAGCCACTGCCTGACGAAGTCAGTTTCGGTGCTGTCATCAGTTCCTGTGCGCGAGGTCAAGCTTCCCAAAGGGACTAAGGCCTTTGGCAGGAAGTCTGCTTGAGTCCCGATATGTGGGGCTGGGCACGAGCACTGGTCGATCGCAGCACTCTATTCGGGACAATCTCACTCCCCAATCCTGCCCTCCGGAGCTTTTGAAGTAAGCGGTGCATCGTCACTTCAGGTCTTTACATTCAGGCCCCTTGTCTTTGCAGGCTTGCAAGACCCGTCTGTGCGTTGGCCCCATGCCTGCCGTCTGACCCAAAGCGGAGACAGGACCAGACTCGTCCACAAAGTGTCTCTCAAATGCGCTCCGTGCCGCTAAGCTGCATTTTGAAAGCACTAGGCGGGTGTGCGTGTGAGAGGACAAGGTTGGTTTTTGTATAGGTTGCATTACAGACCGCAGTCACAAAGTCGGGGGGAGTGGAGCTCCCAACGGGCACTAGCAAAAATCCATGTCGGTGTTTCTTTAGCGCTGTTAGCGTAGGGTATAATGCGTGCGAGTTTGGGAGATTGCAGTGCTGTAATGAGTCCGCCGGAGTAGTCTGGAAGATCCGAGTGACCAACACAGGGGTTTCAGAGTAGTCATGGTCTTGGCACTTGGTTTGGGGGGCTGGGCAGCCGATTGTGCACTCGGGGGACCACCTTTCCGCCCCGAAAGGGGCCTCCCAGACGAACTGAGCGCGGACCGAGTGCGGGTAGGCCCTCGGGCCGAGGGTCTTTCGGGACCCCAGACCCCTCAGCAAGCAAGCAAGAGAAAGAACGACCTTGGAGCATTGGCTTCTCCGACTTCATGTTTGCCTTGTCAGCTTTATTTCACAAAGCTGCCCATACAACATGGGGGGGCGCCAACGCTTGGGGGTAGCTCCCCGATCCCCTACCCTTGCGAAGGAAAAGAGAGGGAGTGAGAGAGCCATCACTAACCCAGTGCGCGCTGGCGCGCGGAGGGAAGGTAACCGCCGTCCCTCATGGCTGTGTGGAGGAAGAGAACCATGATTTAACATCGTCTGCGAAATTTGAATCCAAGCCGCGTTTGGCGCCTCTCCAACAAACGCTTTTTGCAGAAGCAGTTTCGCAGCACACGGATGACTAGCAATCTGGATCACGCAGCCCTGGGTTCAAGGTGAAGTGAGGCACGAAACAGTGGAAAATAGTAGCAAGCTGAGTCGGGAGCCCGAGGTTTTGGAGCTCATTGCCACCCAGCTGCCGGCGTCCTACAGCCTTTGTCCGCGAGATTCGGGTGGCTGTAAGTGTGTCCTACCCGACCGCCCAAGCTGGACGGAGTCCAGCCTGCAGACTTCAGGTTCTCCGAAATCTCCTCGTTCGCCTACGGCTCAGCGGTGGTTTTCAAGAAGTGGTGAATGGGCCCTGCCATCCTCCGCTGAAGCCGACGCAGCTTTGCAAGGACGCGCCCAGCGTCTCAAGAGAGGCCCAAGGCTCGCGAGAGAGCTGGGTCCTTATCTTTCTTGGAGAGGCTGACAAGGGAAAACACTCCAAGATGCCAGATACAGCACGAAGAGTCTGAGTGTATTCCGAGCAAAGCAACACGCCCGCTGCTCCCCAGGCGTTGACGGATCGGCTGTATGGCGACTATCTTCGTCGGAAGGAAAGAGCCAAGGCCAGGCACTCGATTCGGCCGTGGGAACCTGCTATCCCAAGTGTGAATTGCGCAGTGCCAGCTAGGCTTCAGTCCTCTGATCCGCAGGGGCCCCTTGAGCCTCAAGCTGCCCGTACGAAGGAAAAGAGAAGTGACCGAGTGAACCATTCTTCCTCCGAAGCCTCTCTGCTGCCTTGCTGTTTTGTCAGTTGGCACCGGAGCCTTACGATCAGGACCTTTGGTCGAGCCCAGGAGACAGGCAATCTGTGCACTCTTGCGGTTTGGAGGCAGTGGCGAGTGCTGCTGAGAAGGAGACGCCTTACTTGGAGCTGCGGGCCGTGACTTTGGGCTTTGCTGCTCCCTGTGGCCTGGAATGACTCAGGCGACGGGCACTGAGGCCACTACTGGCTTCTATCGCGATCGTGACCCACCACCGTCGTGGAATGGAGAAAGGCCAGAAGCAACGCTTAAGCCTTTCCTCAAGGACTTGGAGCTGTGGGAAGTCATCTCGGATCTTCCTGCAAACAAGCGTGGACCGAAGTTGGTTCAGGCCCTGACGGGCGCAGCGAGGGAAGCCGTTAGGTCCTTGGAAGTGTCTGCCTTGATAGCCGACGACGGGGTCAAGACTGTGGTGAAGACTTTGAAGGAAGCCTTCCAACCATATCAGGAAACCTCCCTTCCCCGTGCTATGGAGGCAGCGCTCTATGGACAACCGCGCAGCCACAAGGAGACCATTGCCGAGTACCTTGTCAGGTTTTCGCAGGCGCAAGCAAGCTTGAGAGATGAAGGAGTTGAGCTACCTGTCAAGGCAAAGGGCTACCTCTTGTATCGCCAGTCGAACTTGGATAAGGAGCTGGACGCGCGCTTGCTGACCTGGCTGGCTGGCGACTTCTCCTTGGATGTGGTGACGGCGAACCTTCGCCGACTGGACCGCGCTATGCAGGAGGGCACCAAGAAGGGCATGCAGGCATTTTATGAGGACGCCGAGGGCGACGAAAACTACGAAGAGGACTATGCCGACCAGGAGGACCACACCTACGAGGACTATGCCGAGCAAGCCTATTATGGAGCCGACGAAGCAGAGAACTACTACGAGGACCCAGGCCAAGGCGACATGCTGGAGGAGGTGATCGAGGAAGACGACCTCCTGGAGATCCTGGCTAGCTACCAGGACATTCGGGACAGCATGCGCCATGTCAGGAACGGACGCGGCTTTTACCCCAAGGGCAAGGGCAAGTCCTTTGGACCACGCCTGTCGGCACCCGGCCACGGCAAGGGACAAGGACACGGGCGAGATCGTTCGCTCACCCTGCAAGAGATAAAGCTGCGTACCAGGTGCCGGGCTTGCGGCCAAATTGGGCATTGGGCCAAGGAGTGTCGGCGCGGGCAGGGTTCGGCTGGTGGCTCTTCTTCGGCACCGGCGCCTTCTACAAGGACGAGCTTCTTTTGGTCTTCCGATCGCCCCGGCCCTGCGGCTTCTTTTCTATGCTATGCCACCGGTTCCCCGAGCAAGGCCTCAGAAGAAGGACCGGACCGCACGACAGTTCCGAGTGAAACAGGCAATTCGTCCTTTGTTGGGGTTACGGTTGCGGGTTGCCAGGGCATTGTTGACACGGCGGCTCAGGAAGGGCTTATTGGAAGGGCTTCTCTACTACGTCTTCTAGAGGAGCTCCGGAAGTACGGCTTGAAGGGCCATTGGAGCGGCAAGGAGTCGGAGGCGAGAGGCATAGGGGGCCGGGCCAACACCATTGGCGTTTGTGAAGTACCCGTGGGGCTTGCCGGTGTACCAGGCGTATTAGAGCTCACGGTTGTTGCCGAGGAGGTCCCCCTCTTGATTCCAGTAAATCTTCTTCGTGCCTTGAAAGCCTCGGTCGACTTGGGAAACTCGTGCCTTTATCTTCCCGAAGTGCAAGCTAGCTGTCCCATAGAGTTCCTCCCGTCTGGTCATCCCACCGTCTGCGTCACCGACTTTGGTCAGGGATGGCATCTACCGGAAGTGTGCCAGAGTTTCAGGGCTGACAGCATGTACCGCACGGAGCCTAGGGCCAGGAGCGTGAACTTTGACTCCCGAAGCTCTGGCTCTTCTACAGCTTGGCTGGCTTCTGGAGGAGGCCGCCCCAATGCTTCAAAGCCGTGCCCTTGGACTGCAAAGGCAGCCCCGAAGGGAACCCGAGAGTCCATGGCAGGTTGTGCGGCCAGTTCGCGACCGCGCCCGCGCATGCCGAAATTGGCGGGCCGTTGCGGACAAGCTTTATTGTGTGCTGCAGTGGGCGCACTGGCAGGAGGTGGTCTCGGCTTGGCTTCCGCTTCCCGAACTTCGAGCTGGGGCGCCTCGGTACCCATCCACGGCGGCCTCCAGCACAGCGACGGCTCCTACTACGAGGCTTGCCGCCACGGACAAGGGCAGCGCCTACAAGAAGTACCTCGAGGAGCGGAATCCCGAGACCATGACGGCTGTAAAGGGGGTGCCAGTTACCGATCCGGCCAGGTGCAGTCATCCAGCGGCGTGCTTGAAGGGTGGCGGCAATGCTCACGCCAATTGGGTTCATTGCTCGATGTGCCGCAGCCGTTGGAAATTGTCCCCGAGGACGGCGGCCCTCTTTACCGGCCGCCAGTTGGAGATTGCCGAGGAGGAGATCAAGGATCCGCCCAAGTTGGCGGAACGAGTCCAGGATATGAACCGCACGAGGCTCGAGAAGGAGCACCTGGACCAGCAGGAGGAGCTGCTCAAGATCATCACGGACCAGCGGCTCCAGATCGAGAACATCCAGACACAGCTCGACATGACCCAGGGCAACTTCCTCGAGTACGACCGGGCGATGGAGAATGTGAACTACCTCGAGCAGCATGCCGGCGACATGGAACCCACCATGAGGACCCAGACCTCGGCCATCATTGCGGAGTTTCGCCGGCTGAAGAACCTCGAGGAGGAGTGCCGAAGCCGGGCAAATTACTTCCCCACTGGCGAGACCAAGAAGGATTGGGAGACGGCGGTGACAACGCTGCGCGAGGCGATTCAGCATGTCGACCACTTTTACTCGGCACTGCTGGCGAGGAGGAACCAGATCGCAAAGCAGATGGCGCAGCAGTGACCCACGGTTCGTGGGATAGCCGCTCCAGTTCTGATGGGACCCGTGTTTTGAAGCTGGCTTCGCCCAGCGCCATTGCAAGCTGGCGGTCGACGCCGAGCGCCTTCCTGGAAGACTTTGTTGTGGTTCAGGCGGGTGGCTCTCTAACGCGTCGTGATCGCACGGATTTTTCCTTATGCAAACCTGGCGCTGAGGAGACCTACTTGGTGCTAAAGGGGCCGGCCCTCTATGTCTATGTGAACTCCGAGTTTGATGACGAGGCCCCAAAGGAGCACCAGGACACGATCACCAATTACCTCGAGGCCCTCTTCTCTGACGGTTCCGAGGCGAGGCTGGCTGAGCTCAACATCGAGCCGGGCAATGGCAGTGACGCGACCTGCTGGAGCCAGTGGGAGAAAGGTCGACCCAAGGTGTTGAATGTGCGCCCCGATGATGACCGTGAGTCCGTGGAGCTTGCCTGTCGGTTGGCTCGGGCACAATGGCGCTCTGGAGGCACCTTTGTGCTTCATACAAGGGCGGCCCCGTCAGCGATGCGACATTGTGGAGCAAAGCACCTTAAGGACCTGTGTTGCCATACCTCGGCCAGCTTTCTTCTGTTCCGCAAGGAGGGCATCCTGTCGAATGCTCGGGATCGTGTCAAGTATCGCATGGCAAAGGGTCAGGACTTTAATCACGGCGAGGTCGAACCGATGCCTGAGGCACTTGTGCTGCCAGCTGAAGTGGTCAATCCTGAGGCTGCCGAGGCCTCCGCTGACCCGCTGGAGATTGTGCTCGGACCTTCGGCACGAGTGCCGACTAAGGCTGAAAAGGAGGCCGTGGACAAGCTGCATCGGAACCTCGGGCACCCGCCCAACAAGGAGTTGGCCAGGGCTTTGCTGATCGGCAGGGCCCCCGTGCATCTTGTTAAGTATGCCAAGGAGCACTATAAGTGCGCCAATTGTGAAGCACACCGCTCTCCAAAGTGGAGCCGGCCTACTACCATGCCGAGATCCTTCGCTCCCAATGTTGTGGTGGGCGTCGACTTGATGCAAGTGCCGGGCCACGACGGTGTGCAAGTACATTGGATGCTTAACATGGTCTGCATGGGCACCAGCTTTCAGCTTGTTGAGCGGGTTAAGTCAAAGGAGCCCAAGGATGTTTGGACGGCCTTTACTAGGTCGTGGGGCCGCTTGCTTGGATGGCCATGTGTTCTTCTACTTGATCAGGGCACTGAATTTCTTGCCGAGTTCCGTGACCGTGCAGGCCAACTTGGAGTTGTGGTCCATCAGATCGGCGCCCGAGCGCCACACCAGAATGGGCGCACAGAGCGCCACGGAGCTCTCTTCAAGCAACTGCTGGAGAAGGCTCGCTGGGATTCGCCTCCTATCGACCACTCCGACTGGGTTCTCTTGGTTCGAGAGACTGAGGCCACCAAGAACCGGATGTTCAATCGATCCGGGTTTTCTCCGGTTCAGCGCATGTTCGGGCACCTTCCTCGCACTACTGGCGAGGTCTTCTCTGATGACCCCGTGGACCCGATCCTCGTGGACTACAGCGAGGACCTTCAGAAGCTGCTCACCGCACGCCGTGCCGCACAAAAGGCTTACGCAGAGCTGAACACTTCGTCTGCGGTTAAAGTCGCTCTTCGAAGCCGCGGCCGCACGCAGAGGAGGTTTCAGCCGGGAGAGATTGTTTTTGTGTGGCGATCCTGGAAAACAGCCGGCGTTGTCAAGCCGAGCTGGGTTGGACCGGCTGTGGTGTTGATGCCTGAGGGTGCCAATGCCTATGTCAACATGCGTGGCCGGATCTGGAAGGTGGCGAACGAGCACTTACGCCCCGGGACTTCAGGGGAGATTCGTGGGATCGAGGCGGTTCACCAGGTCTTTGACGACCTCAAGGAGCGTTTTGACCGCAGTCGCGCCGGAGTCATCGAGGATCACACCGGCGACCCACTACCTGAAGGAGTCCAGCGAGAGACTGGTCCCGACACTGATGCTGAGGGCCTTCTGCGCGGAGCGCCGCGCCCAAGGATTGATGAGCCAGAAGTTCCTGTTCCTGCACCGCCCATAGAGATAGAACCACAAGCACCACCACCGGAGGATCCTGAACCACCTGTGCCGCTTCCTGCTTTTGAGCCGGATGGACCTGCGACTGAGGCGCCAAGACAGGTGTCGAACTTGACCGAGCCAGAGGGCGAAGCTCAGCCACCTGTTCCTTCGCCAGTGCAGGCCCCAACTTCTAGCCCGACCGCGCCGGCTCCCACAGACGACGAAAGCAGAATGCGGCTGGCAATGGAAGCTTCCTATCGCGCTGACCTGTTGGATGATGCGCTTCCAAAGCGGCGCCTGAGAATCGCCGCACCAAGCAGTTCAGGCCCGATCCGGGAGAAGGAGGACAACACGATCAACCCGTACCTCCTGGAGTCCGACCTGTTTGAGGAGCCCAAGGACCTGGAACTGCCACAGCGAGAGCCGGACGTCAGCACGAAGGTCAACCGAGACCACTGGGAGCTGCTCTTTGAGAAGGGCACGTTGCGTCGGCATCACGTCAAGTGGCGAACGCACTCCTTTTCGCCTTGGGAAGGGGCGAAGCTACCTGTTGACATCCGTGACCTCTGTTCCCGAAGGGTTACCGCCAGAAGCTTCAAGACTGGAGAGCAGGACGAGGAGAACGACGACTGGAGGGCCATGAAGCCTTCAAGGAGAGCCCCGGCCAAGTGGAAGGGATACACGGACTTCTACCTCACGAAGGCGGCTCTCGAGAAGGTCAAGGAAGGCGGTCTGGAGGAAAAGCTCCAGGCGGCAGGCTACTCTGTCGAGGTCCTCGCTGCGGAAGTCTTCAAGATGGCGAGCGACGAGGTTCCGGAGAGTGCCATTCATGGAGATGAGTGGGAGGAGTGGCGTCAGGCCGATTCGGAGGAGTGGGCCAAGATTCAGGCCAGCGGCGCTGTCAAGGTGCTGAGTGTGCAAGAGTCGGCCAAAGTTCTGAAGGAGCTCGAGCGGCTTGGAAAGACGGACCGCATTATGCAGTCCAGGATCGTACGTCGAAAGAAGCCAGCGGATCAACCAGGTGAGCTTCCCAGCAACAAGTCGAGGCTTGTTGTGAAGGGGTTCACGGACCCAGACCTCCACGACCTCGAGAAGTACGCCCCGACGGTCAGCACTCAGAACTTGAACGTGGTGTTGCAAGCAGCAGCGTCCTTACGCATGCGAGGTGCCTGTGGCGATTTGCGCCAGGCGTTCATGCAGTCGGACCCGCTGAAGCGCAAAGAAGGTCGTCTCTTCATGTGGCAACCCGGCTGCGGGCTACCAGGCCTCGAGGCCGGTCAGTTGGTCGAGATTCTCCACGGAGTCTACGGCCTGGTGGACGCGCCACTCCACTGGCGCCGAACTCTCAAGACTTGCTTGACCGAGACGCTGCAGTACCGCCAGAGCAGATTAGATCCGTGTGTGTTCTGCCTCTACATCGACGGCGCCCTCAATGGGGTGATCGTGGTGGAGGTAGACGACCTCCTAACGTTTGGCCACGCAGAACATAACCGAAGGCTCAGTCAGCTTCGTCAGCGCTTTAAGTTCGGCAAGTTCCTTTGGCTGCAAGACCTTCCTCAAGGCACTTCCTTCAACGGGCGCCGTATTCGACAAGATCAAGACTTCACTGTGCACACCGACATGATGAAATTCGTCGAAGAGCGTCTTGAGGAAATGAGACTGGAGAAAGGTCGCAGAAGCAAGCCCGATGAAGAGGCTACCGAGCGTGAGCGTCGAGCAGCCAGAGCCGCTATCGGCTCTCTTGCTTGGGCTGCTAAGGAGGGCAGGCCTGATGCTGCCGCTACGGCATCCATCATGGCCTCTCGGATGAAGCGGCTTAAAGTCAAAGACTTGGTTGCGCTCAACAAGGCGATCAATGAAGTCAAGGAGCGGCCAGATATGACCATGAGCTACTTCCCGATTGAACTGGAACGACTTCGTTTCGGCGTTGCCACCGACGCCTCCTTTGACAACTACGACGACGGCTCCTCGCAAGGGGCGGTGGGCGTTTTGGCCTACGACGTGTCACTGGTGAGCGGTGAACGAGCGCGTTGCTCGTTGCTGTGGTGGAAAAGCGGGAAGTTGAAGCGCAAGGTACCCTCTACCCTTGCGGCGGAGACGCAGGCCTTGAACCGCGGCCTGGCAGAGCTCATGTGGACCAAAGCCTTGTGGGAAGACCTCCTGAACGAGAACTTCGACTTGCAGTCCTTCATGGCAGAGGTCAAGAAGCAGTCCGAGATTGTCCTCCAGAAGTCCGACGGCGACAAGAAGCTCCGCGAGAGCCTCTCTGTGGTAGACGCCAAGAGCGTGTACGACAACGTGACAAAGGAGGGAGCTCAGGCAGCCGACAAGTACACAGCGCTGGAAGTGGCCATAGCACGTGAAAGGGCAGATGGCCTTGGGACCCAAATCCGTTGGGTCGAGCATCAGTCCATGATAGTGGACGCCTTGACCAAGATCGGCGCGAACCAGCAAGCTCTCTTCAACTTGCTGGATACCGGCTTCTACAAGATCACGGCGGAGGAAGATCAGCTCTGTGAAAGGGCGGAACTACGAGCAGCCGGTAAAGTCAAGCCGAGGTGACTGAAGCCTAAGAGAGTTTTTATGGTGCTGTGAATTGCGCAGTGCCAGCTAGGCTTCAGTCCTCTGATCCGCAGGGGCCCCTTGAGCCTCAAGCTGCCCGTACGAAGGAAAAGAGAAGTGACCGAGTGAGCCATTCTTCCTCCGAAGCCTCTCTGCTGCCTTGCTGTTTTGTCACAAGTTTTTGGAAAGGCCCGGGAGCTGCTCGCTGGCGTGCCCTGGGACAAGGACAAAACGGAGTCGGAGGCTGGATGATTTCTGGGTCACATCTGTGGACACCCTCCGAGCCCTGAGCCCTCGGGGTTCTGTAGAACACATACGTTCGAAGATACAGTTGAAGCTATTCGGTATCTCTCAGAAGGTGCCACCATTTGGGCGAATTGTCGCTTTCTTCCCCCCCGCACCCCCAACGACACCTCGCGGTTCTTTTTGCACTCCGTCTTCGGTCAGTTCCCATCGGTAGTCGGTCCATCCTCCGAAGATCTCGATGTATTTCTATACCAAGGTGCAGACTTCACTGGTTCCAGACCGGTTGCAAACGTTGCGCTCAGCTGTATACATACATACACATATGTATATATATATATATATATAGATAGATAGATGCCGTTCCAAACCCCCGCCTCTTGTAGGAAGAGTAGGGCCGGCATTAGGGTTTTGCATGGTGGTTAAAAACAGCTAGAAAACCTGTGTTTGCGCAAGCTCGCGCAAGGGCGGGCGCAAGATACTAACTAAGTCGAAATGCATGGTAATTTACGCTTTGTGAGGGGCTATGTCGACATGAGCGAAAACCCTTGCGCGCGCAAGACCACACAAGGGCGGGCGCAAGCTCTGTCCCATTGCCCGGGCATGGCCCCATTAATTCAGAACAACATCCATATACTACATATACATGTGTTGTTCTCGATTAGCGTTAGTTGTCTCGTTGGGAGAGCTCTTTTCGTCAGGTGGCCGGCCTGCACGGTGCAGTTCCAGACATGCCCAGACATGATGATATAACGTAGCAAGTAAGAAATGAAACAGTCGAGGAGGCACCGAGGAGTTGGTTCTGAATTGGCCCGCCTCGTTCCTTCGATTCCTCCTGGCCGAACACGGGCTGAACGAACACTTTCCACTCTTTCGGTGTTGCTCCAAATGCGGGTTCCCAATCTGGTGCTCTCCGCAGGCAGTATACCATGCTGTCCCGGCATTTCAGAGTAGATCATAATCTGGCATCTGGCGGATTGGGAAGCAAACCAGAAGCTGAGCGAGATAGAAGGCTCTAGACGGCTGAGTGGCAGTGCCCATTGACTGATTGATTGAACAAACTGCAGCAAGCCGCATTGGGGAACTTGTGAGTTTCAGGATTTTCCAGGGATGTTTCGGGGCGGAGTTTCGGAACATGGTCCGGGACAGGTTCGGATCAGGACATGGTCAGTTTCTGTCTCACGCCATACTCAGTTTGAGGCCCAGGCCTGCAAGAATCAGACTGAAACTGTCCACATCGCCCCCGAAACTGACAGACCCGCGTTCCCAAACTGACTCCCGCTGGCCGCATCTGGGCGCCGAAGCTATCCCCCTCTGATCCGAAACCACCGGCAGCGGATCCGAAACTAGAAAAGCGAGACTATGCAAGTAGCTAAGTAGCTGCAGTCAAATTCGTTGACTGTTGACGATTTGCACATGTTTCCGCAAATACAGCTGGTCTTACTAGTATGAAGTTGTATACTTGCCGCCTTCTGTCAGATGCTCTTCACGCAGTCGACGATGACCCCTCGGCCGAGCGACATGTTTAGCTCTCGCTTCTCTGAGCTGATCGAGGACTGCCGACCGTACCGTACTAGACTCGAACCGTTATGTCCGGCCAACTGCCTGCAGCAGATCTTCAGCCTTCAATGATCTTAAAACGGAAACCATCGGAAACCATGGCAGTAGAAGGGGCGTTTCTCATTCGCATGTGCGCCTGCCTGCAGGATCTTTCTGTCAAGGCGCGGCTTTCTGCAGGGCCTGGGAGACGGATTGAACAGGGGAAGTTTCGGGAAGCGAAACTGGCAGACTATCGAGGCAACAAGGCAGAAGTGCAGGATTGGTTGCGTTTTCCCAGCTGCATAGCATCGCAACACTCCCCAATTACCCACAATTCAAGCCAGTTTGCTCTAACGCGCGACAACATGGAAGTCTGATTCGTGAGCAAGCTCTCGCAGCGTTATTGCGATTGCTGAACACCTCTGCTCAGGATATACCTGTCTTACCGGAGGCCCGGGTTAGCATTAGTTTGTGTCTGCATGTCCGAGTCAGTCTTATCGGTCTTCCTGAATGCTCGGAGATGCATGTATGACCGTGGCCGAAAGCGAGCGATTGGTCAGGATCCTGTGGAGACGTTCCTTCAGCGAAAGCCGAAGAGGTGCGCGAAGCTACTAGCAAGGTGAAAGCGAATAATCTTTGGCGACCACAGAACTAGCTCTGGTCGCAAAAGCCCAGGCCGCCCCTCTCTTCCCCTTGTGCAGCCGAGGTTGTTTTCTTGAGGTTTCAGCCCTTTTTGAAGTTAGTGGCAGCCGACATGTGATACCCTCTTTTTCCGCACGCACGCTATTCAGAGGAGCACCGACCCATGACGACCTATCAGCTATTATCAGTTGATTGCCCTAGCTAAACATGGCAGGGATGATGCTGGCCACGGGCCCGGTTCGTTTTGCGTGCACGTGTCCACTCCGCACACGACATGCGCCCTTCGCATTGAATTAAGAAATCCAGACCAGTGCAGGTTGCAGAGAGAGCAACACGGTGAAGCACCTTCGCTAAGGTTCCAAGTCCTTGGTCAAGAAGACTTCATCCTACTACTTCGACAAGGACCGAACTGTCCAATGACCTGTAAACAGGGGAGTGGCTTGTATTGTCTTTTGTCAGCTGCAGATCATCCGGATCTCGTCCTGAACGATGTTCAGGTGTGCTCTCGGTGCTTTTTCGACTCCAGGATCGGCCGGTCAAGAAATCCACGCTGCAGAAAGGTTCTTCCAAAAAGGCACGTAGACGCCTTGCGTGGTTGATTTCGGAGTAAATGTCTGTGCAGGGACGAAGCTCGGTTCGAACAGTCGACGCCAATCTCCGTCACTCTTTGAGAAATGAGACCACCGAACCCAACTGTGATTCTATTTGACATTCCTCACCGCCCCACACCTGCTTCTTGTGACCAGGGGCTGAACTTTCTCTCCTGAGCCTGAGGTTTTCGCTGCCTGTAGTCTGCGCGTCTTGTGCGACAGACCATGGAAGTAGATCCACGAGCAGCACAAAGCCGCAGGCTACTGCAGAGTCCTGCAGTCCTAGTACCACGGCCGCTGCTCTATGTGATTGCACTTTTCACTCTTAAGAGAGTTTTCGGAATTCTGAGAGAAACCAAGGATCCAGCGGCTGTGTTTCACTTAGATGTACCAGTTGGAATCCAAGCCGGCCGAGAAGCCGATCAATATTGCGCCTCTGAGGCTATGCTTGACAAGACGGATCCTCACAAAAAGTAACACTTGCTGATATGTGGTATGTTTGAATTTGGGACTCTGGTTCGCTAAGAAGGCAGCTATCTCTCTGCCAGTTTGGGTTCCTCTCGTACAACAGAACATGCGATGCCCAAGCGCTAGGTGTGACAAGCAAAAGGTCCGTTCGCTTTCAGCTTGGTGCGCGTGGCTCAACTCGGACATCCCCTCGTGATCCTACACATGGGTTGAGCTTGAACATGCGAGTCAGCGGTGAACGTGCACATGCAACGGAAGCGAGCGATCCCTGCTGATGTATCTTACGTTTGCTGTTCCTCTCGCCTTTGCCGCCAGGTGCATCGCGAACCAAGAGTTTGACCCGCTGTCAGTAGCACTTTGGATTCGCACGGCAGCACCAAGTAAATCACCCTCGACTTTGCAACGATGTGGCAGGGCACGGTTTCTGCCATCCGCGAATCCTCAGCTGCGATTTACGGATCGTAGGTTGCAGGGAACTCAGAAACCAAAAGCTAAGCAGCCAGTGCTTGGGCCTTTTCGATACGAGATCTCTTGCAACAAGATCAGGGTGAGACCACTTCGCCAGATCTAATTGACACATGTCGCTTCTCGTGCCTGTACATTGAAGCTGCTACATGCCATGTTGACATGGCGACATGATGCTGGAACATTATCATCATGACTTGCCTGAAAAACCGAAAGTTATTCTGCAGCGCATTGGGAAGATATCCGACTCAAGATGAGTCGACAATTCGACCAAAGTTTTAACAATATTGGTTTACGGCGACTTGATATGAATCATATGATCTGAACTACTTGAAAAACAGTCTGCGAAATATTCTTAATAAGGACATGTGGGTTCGTAGTCTTTATTAGTCCACATTGTTTCCCATCATTCCTTCTGTTTGATTATTGGTATCTGAATATTGGAAGCTTTGACTCTATACAACGCCGTGTGCTTCCTCGGGTTTCGGATTCGTGCACAACTGTTGCTGGTACGAAACCACGAACATCTCGGAATTTTGGGATCGTTGGAACACCAGCGGCTGTCTGCCTTTAAATTAAGGGCGAATCCTTAGTGCGAAACCTAGAAATTCTTTGGATTTTGAGGGTTTTGAACTGGACGGGTTGTGTGGTACGAACTCCCCAAAATCCGGTAGATTTCGGTGCTTCGTACTGCACGAAACTCTGGAAATCCCGGGAAAACATGGTTTTGTATCGTATTAAATTCTGGACGAGACTTTCCATCAATTTTGTTCCGTATCTTAGCCTTGATTTCATTCTGCTGCTTCGATGAATATTGGATATCGTCGATGTTCAATACTATAGTGAATGATTGGAGAATTGGTACATGAAAGAGGAGGCAAGGAGTTGCGTATGAGGGCGTATTACGGGGTGGTGGGGGGCGCGGGCGGAGTAGAGATAGAGAGGTATTTCGGAGAATTACGTTGGAGGACGTATTTCATAAGATTATGATAACTCTCGGAAAATTGTTGAATCTCTGAGATCGCCGATTGCTTTTGTTACGACGTCATTTATGGCGGGGGAATGTGAATGCATATGTGTATATATATAATATAAAATATATAAATATAAATATGTATATATATTCATAAGGGAAATATTTAAATTTATTTTCGTATAGGATATTGATTGCTAGAATAGTTGAATTCTTTAAGCACACAAGAAAAAATGGTCATACGATTCATAAATAATAAATAAAAATTATTAAATAGAATTTATTATAGATGAAATTTATTGATATAAATAATTGGGAATTAAAAGATATATTAATCTATATTTTCTTTATTAGTTATTAATAAAATATTTTAGAAAATATAATATTCATTTATTAAATAAATATAATATTCGTTAATTTTTGTCGTTTATATTTTTAATTCTATATAGAATTCTCTATGTCAAAATTTTTTGAATTTAGAATTTATAATAATCTACAGAGAAAATTCAGAATTTAAATGATAATAAAATCTGAACTAATGACTTATTATATATAGGCTATAATAAAAAAAATAGAAAAAAATATTAAAAAA